TTCTGTGAAGAGTGTACTGTACTGCAGACAGTACACATAAACACCACAGTTATCACTGTGCTGGACCATCACAGCGGCTGCAGCCATCCTCACCTTCAAAAGCATGGCCAACCGAAAAATGTACCTAACACCAGGTCTAAACTTTTTCAAGATGCAGACCATCGAGGGACAGAGTTTTCAACCCCTCTTACTGACATTAAGCTGTCCTGTACTTTTAAAATAGCTTCCCAATGCATCCTGATCCCTCCTCTTTGATGGTCACACCATGGACACACTTGCTTCCCTAATTAGGAAAGGCTATCAGATAATAAAAATTATCTGATTTAGTGACATTCAATACTTGGCTTATAAGTGAGTCATGATCACTCATTTGGCCCCATATAGAAAAAAATCATTGTTTAATGAATGCTATGTGCAATTTTAAAATCAGTTCTTTGGGGTGGGATCTAGGCAAGTACAACATTTATACAACCAGGCTTGGAGCATGAGAAACCCTGCTTTCCGTGTGTAGTTACACACCATGGAGAAATGTCACCATTGCCTGAGTCATGGCTTCCATCTTCTGCTGCTTTGTGGTTTTGTTTTTTCATGCAGCCATTGTTCTGAGGTCTCAACCTGGCTGCCTCTAAGCAGAGCACAGAAGCTGAACTACTTTGGACAGATGTGAAACCGCTGTCACAGAGATTCTACGCGAGCTGGCCTGAGAGGAGGCCTTGGTCCCAGTGATTCTAAGGTGTGGGTGGGTACAGAGGCAACTTCAGCGACTGCCTGCTCTTGCCAGCAGCTGAGCAGTATGGCCCTTCTATTTGGCATGTCTGGCACCTGCTATGGGGCCAGGCACAAGATGGACTTACAAGTCCACTGTGAGTTATATGAATGATATATCTGCAAAGTACTTGGAATCCTATACTATACTACCATACCACACCAGCTCCTTCTGCCAAAATGTCTAAGGAGTCATAGACTGTCAACCATATTGTTGCTGTGGTACCCAGATGCCATGCCTCACCTGGGTTGGGCTTATCTTGTAAAGACAGTGCCACAGCACTTTAATCAGAGTCAACATTTTGAAAAGGCATAGTATGGAGTTTAGAAATATTATGCCAATAGATTGTACTGTGTGAAGCAAAACAGCACAAATATTAATGATACCTGGTCACCATGGAGAATGCTGGTCAGAATAAATATCCATTTCTTCTATGTGGGTCTCTGGAAAACATTAAAATCACTCTCTATACACAAAAGCAGAGACCCAACAGGCCACACTTTCCATTCCAGCTTCTTGAGGCCCTCAATGGGGCAGGCACTGTGGAAGGCATGTGGACACAATACTGAACGTGAGCAAAACACACTGGAGTTCATGGCACTTAGAACACACTGAGAAGATGCTGGGAATTGGGTTAGCAGATAGTACATTTTTCAGGCTGTAACAGACACAGTGAGGAGAGCAAAGCAAAGCTATGTTGAGGACCTGGGCAAGGAGCCCTGGCAGCATGGTGAGGGCTCCCTGAGAAGGTGTCTGGGCACTGAGGACTGGGTTTCTGAGGATCACAGACAGCAGAGGTGCAGGTGCATGGGCAAGACGAGCCTGAAGGTGGGACAAACCAAAAGCTGGGAAAGGGTAGCGTGAAGGAGAAGCAGAAGCCAGTCTCATCGCCTCTGTACACTATGGTGGAGTGTGAAGGACATGATTACAGTGGTAAATGAAGCCACAGGTTTACTTAAACAGAACTGCTATGACAGAAGGGTCCACACAAGAGAAGTCATGAGGTGAGTTTTCTGATCTTGGGAAGTCATCCCATTGGGTTGAGTTCACCTAATCCCATAAATAGACAAACAAAATCAAACAAAATGTCATGTCAGTTTATGAAGGGGTTCCATCCCAGCAAACCGCAGGAAGTTATGAATAACTTAAGAACGCCTTGAGTACACTTAACCTACTGGCTCCTATCTTAACTCTGCAGAGAACTTCCCTTAGCCTAACGCTGGGCCAAGTTCTCCATCACAAAGCCTATTTTTAAGATAGTGTTGAGCATCTTATGGGCTTTGTTGAATGCTCTGAACAAACACACACCCTCGTGGTTATGTGGCTGGCTGTGCCGTGGGCTGCTGCTACCTCCCAGCATCATGAGGGAGGCTGGGCCATCCACCAGCCCAGGAAGAGACTAAACCTAAATTTACTTCCTACCACATGTTCCCCTTCCTTAACTCTGTAAAATATGAAATCCCAAGTAAAGTTATCCACATCAGGTATTATCTGCACAAAAATTCTCTTTCTTTCTTAATGATGGGAGGGGACTGGGGTGCTGGGCCCAAATGTTCTCATCCTTAGATCTTCATTTAACCTCCTTTCAGATACTTCCCCAAAGACACCTCCTAAGTCATCGCTTTATGCACCCCTAGCCTCTGCTGGATTTGTGGCCTTACACTATTGGGAATCACACTGTACTTTCATCTGTTCTGAACACACTGAAATGTCATCCTGAGGTCACAGACTGCATTTATATTGTTTTCTGCTGTGTTCATCACTGTCTAAGGCACATGTAATGTACTCATCCATTATTCGTTGAATAAAATTGGAATAAACATCACTTGGTTTTGTTACATTCTTCTGGACACCAATGACTGAATGGATCCCCAGTGTTCTTGGGCTCCTGTTCCCAGGCACATTCATGTCCTTTCTAATCTTTCTGGCTTAATCACTTTAAATGGGTTGACAAGCACAATTGACCAATTAATAGTGCTTCTGCTCTTGTTACATCATTTGTAATCCATGATGCTCTTTCTATTTGCAATGGCCTTTCAATTTTTCATGACTCAAAATGGAGGACATGCATAATGAATACAAATAGCAAATTGATTAAATGTAACGCATGCCCTGCTGCTTGCTGGGTTTATGTCTGTTATTAACGACAGAAATCCAACAAATTCTCATGAAAACACAGATAACATACAACCCTAAATGCAAGATTTTCGAGTACCAGGGCCCTAAATTTTCCTAATTACTGAGCAAGAGCAGACATAATTTCTCAGACAGCAACCTCTGTAAATAAGAACATTGCCATGGCTTCTTTGTCTGAGTTCCTGTGGCTAGGCATGAATGGCTATGCAGCCCACAGACTGTGTGTTTCAAAAAACAAAAACAGGCACTTTTGAGGAATTGCCTTATGAAGGATAAAGGCCACTACTTGTGTGGAATCAAATGTATTGTCTTCTACCAGGTTTGCATTTTTTTTTTCCAACGCTAATCTGCTCGGATACAGTCACATAGCTTCCTCTGGTGTCCTGGTGTCCTCCAAAGGTGATAAAGTGAAATGAGGAAGGAGATTACAGAAAGGACAGGGGCCTAGCTGGACGTGTAGTTTAGGTCTTACACTGCCAAGGGACAGGAAGATAGGCTAGAAGAGGCTGCAAGGAGTCCCCTTATTTTCTTAAAGTAATTTAATGTAAAACTTTAACCATTAGTGGGAAATGTTTTTTTCAGCCTGGAATACTGGCTGGCTTACTCAGGTTAGTGCTAGAAAACCACAAAGCTTTTGCCTGCTAGGTCTGTGACTAGAAGAGACGGCTTGGTATGGTGGCTCTCACTTGAAATCCCAGTGCTCAGGTGGCTTAGGGAAGGAGGACTTCCATGAGTTCAAGATTCACTTGAGCTATACAGGGAGCTCCAGACCAATGTGGACTACAGAGTGTGGCCCCCTCCCCGGCTCAAGAAACCAAACCAAACCAAACCAACCAAGTCCCCACCTCAGAAGACAGTGTAGGCAGGAGCAGTTTCGGGGCCTATCCACGCTCAGGAAGCATGAAGTTCGCAGTGTGCTGAGCTCCTGTCCTCTCCACCCTTCATACAAACTGGCTAGGCTGCATTGTGAGAGGACAGATCAGGGAGATCAGGTGGCTGTGATCCCATATCACTCCTCCAAAGGACTGTGTCCTAATCGGTATGCATTCACGTGAGCTTAGCTCCAAATGTTTGCCCGGGAGTTTGGCAAAATGTGTCTTCTCAACTTAGGGTCCACAGTGGTTTTGGCAAAATGAAATTTAGACTTTTGCTTTGGCAAGTGTACAAACTGTCTCAGACTAGAAGCCCTCAAAGAGAGACCTAGAACCAAGCACTTTGGAAGTAAGTGGAAGGGGCTAGGGAACTCGGGGAGAACAGACAGGGGCAGGAGGTGGCTAGGCAGTAAAGGGGTCTCATTACATCAGCCATGAAGTGAAGGATGATGCCGGATCACAGAGGGAACTCTGAGCAGCTTCAGACTGTGTGTCCCACAATGCGGTAGCCCCACAGTGAGGAGGCTGGGAATCGTACCCACATTCCTGGCAGTGGCTGGTTAGGGCTGTCTCCAGGAATGCGACTCATGGGATTCTAGCAACACTATGGACAAAGTAGGTTCCAGAAACCTGTATGGCAAAAATGCAGTGAATATGGGTGAGGTATTAAACAAAGATGGCTCCCGGAGTTGCCCAAGGATGTGGACTTCCTTCTGCACACATAAGTCCACCCCATCTCAAACCTGCGAAGCCTTCACTGTGTTCATCACAAATGTCTGACTGGTCTGTGTGTGGCATACTGAACATGCTACTGAATACAGTTTGAAGGGAGCTGAGACTACTGGGTGTTCCTCACTAAATTTCCACTCTTTGGAGATAGCAAGACAGATTTCTTGGGAAAATTTAGGAAATATGCATGCTCTCCTCCCCCACTGTCATATGTCTATGTGAGAGAATAAAGAATTCACAGCTAGATCTAAAAACAGAGCCAAATTAGGAAGAAAAATACATTTACAGACCACAGCATAAGAGAAAGCAACACACTGACAGAGACAGGAAGAAAGGAATGCGGATCTAATTTAGCATAATTAAAAAGACACCAAAAGTCTTGATGCCTTTACACATCTTCCCCAGGTGAAGCAGAGGCGCATCTATCTGAATAGCAGCACCCTAATGCTAGACGGCATCTGACTGTCAAATAGGCCACTTTCTATACTGGAACTCACCTTGTTAAAGCCAGAGAATTCCTCAGGGTTTCCATCTCTTTTGATATTCCAGTTGTAAAAATGTTTTCTTAATGCCTAAAATATAAAAATTCTACAAGTTGGCCTTTATTTGGTGTTTTCATAGGTGTGAACTCACTTAACAAGCCTGTGGGCATGTCTTGGTGTCCCAGTTTTCAGAAGAGGAAGCTGAAGCATAGAGGGGTTGAATGACCAGCCTGGTACCAACGAGAAGTAGAGCTGGGATTTGAGCCCAGGTGACCAGAATCCATCAGCTGTGTCCTGCATGGCTTGGTCCTAGAAATCTGGCTGTGAAGAAAGTACAGACGCACAGACACCGACTGGCTGGATCAGGGGGCAAGCTTTGCTGGAGCAGCACCAACTACAAAATAACCTGTACTCTCACTACACTCTTACATATAGAATACTGGGAGGGGCCAGCTAGTCTCAGTCGGACAGCCTCAGGCTGCAGTCACTGGGGAGGGGGACACTATTGTTGATGGTTTTTGCACACACTGCCAACATTTGAACTCAGACCAGAGAAAGGATTTCTCTGAGCCACACCCCAAGGAAGGCTTTGCCTGTTTCCATGGATCTGAGGCAATGGTTCCTTGGCATGGCTGTGCTCATGTCAACAACACACATTCACTCAGGGCTTCATCTGCTCTTTAAACTTCACTGAGCGCTTCCTTAGCTCTCCACGCCCATTTTTTTTTATTTCTGTATTAGCTTTCTCCCATGTGTCCTACTACCTGAATTGATAATCAAATGTTTTCTTAAGCATAAATCCTGTCACAATTGCTTGGATGTGTCTTCATTGTACGGTCCTGACTCGTACCAGGACAACGAAAGAACACTCTAAAACCAGAGCCTATTCAAATGGTAGGGACACTGACTTGCCCAGGCTGTCCTGGCAAGGCTGTCGCATTCTTAGCTCATACCCATCTTAATCCAGGGAAGGTCACTGTGGCATCCAGGAGATTGAGTTCCTTTGACTCTGGTCACTGGGCAAGCCAGCTCAGCTGCTGGACACCACATCATACAAATGGCACTGCCTCCTCCTCAGCTTTCACTGGCATTTACTAAATAAGAGAATGCATATGATGGTTGACGGGAGTACTGCTTAGAAAGCACCACACAATTGCTTACGTTCACATTTATTATAGTGTGATCTGGAGCCTAAAAAAGAACTGACATTTTACTGCAAGCAAGCTTATCAGCTCAAACTGGAGAAGCCTTCCATTCTCCTAACCATCTCTGCAGGAAGGACAAGAGAAGGAAACCTTAGGGCCCCACAGTGCTAAAAGTCCATGGATTACTTTTCCATGGTATTTCTATTACCACCTAAGTGTGGATGTGGCAGAGCACATATGCTAAATTTAAAGAATTTAAAAGAAACATTTTTTTCCCACTTATCGCAGCTAAGGACTTAAGAAAATAATGTCTGAAGAGCCAGCAAAACCCACCACTGCACACAGATAAAAGGCTAAATACTAGAGAAATGGTGAGCCTTGAGCACAGCAGCAGCTGTTGGGTTACATGGTAGGGCTCAGCCTAAGAGCATCACACCTGTGCCCATCACATCCTAGAGAGAACCAGCAACTCCAAGGAAAGCATCTGAGAACCCTGTTATCTCATCTTGTCTTGTTTTTCCCACGTGTTCAGTAATAGCAGCAGCTTTGGCAGTGTCAGGCCCCAATCAGTCAGGAAGATTTGTTTAGAAATTGTGACCGGTCACAATGTACCTTTATTTAATCTTCACTCTCACAACAAGTCATTTTTATTACTCAGGCTGCTGTTTGGTGGAGTGTGGCCAGCACAACTGAATCCACCTCTTCAGACACCCACAGTGCCATGGACCCCTGCAGAACACTGATGCTCTGGAGTGGGAGGTGTGCATCTCTGACACCCTTTTCTCGGTTGTCACATCTCCTGGTGTGGCCCAGGACTGGTCTGTATTGACAGTAAGTCTAGTGCTAATGAGGAGATTTGGATTTTAGACTCCTGTGCCTCATCCCCCTGTGAATCCGATACACCCTCAGCTAGAAACAGATACAAGATTAGGATGTGACACCGTGCACAAAAGTCTCCCACAGACAGCATTATCTAGCCCAAGATGGCTGTCGTACTTAGGGTTTCCATTGCTGTGGCAAAATACCACGACCAAAAGCTAATCCGGGAAGAAAGGGTCTATTTCAGCGCACATGTCCCAACTACAGTCCATCTTTCTCCCCATGGCTTGCTTAGCTTGCTTTCTTATATAACCACCTGCCCAGAGGTGGCACACAGTGAGCCGGGCCCTCCAACATCAATCATCAACTAATAAAATGCACCGAAGGTTTTCCCACAGGCCAATTTGTTGGGGTTACTATCTCAACTGAGGTTCTCTCTTCCCAGGTGACTCTAACTTGTGCCAAGTTGAAATAAAACTAGCCAGCACAATGACTAAATTAAAAAATAAGTCAACATAAATTTCAAAGGCCCACTAGCCATACCTTATATCTACAAAACACAGCCTTCCATGTGCTGCTGATTAAACCTTAATGACTGGACCCTGACATGTGAGCTGGTAACAGCCCAGGCAGATGCTAAATGGAAAACTTTCCAAACACTAATGTTAAAACAAATAGACTGAAAAATGGAAAAGGAATGGTAAATCACGAGTCTATCCCTAACAACTTGGGAATATTCTGTATGTCACAGAGGTTTGTGAAACTGAAATACTACAGAAAACATGGGTGGTCAACTAGAAAGGAATTCAACAAGGTTGGCAGCTGTATAAATGGTGTGACAGTATCCCAGGAAATATCTCGAGCATAAGATAACTGTTGTGGTGCAAGCTCCCTACCAGTTCCTTGGCAGTGGGAGAGCACTGGAGGAAGAATTTAAAGCTGAATTGAAGAAAACTGTAGATTTTGCCTAAAATCGCGATCCCAGTGCGGGGGCAGACATTTGCTGATCACGACCCGGTGAGATTGGCTGGGAGGCGGTGCCACTGCTGCACTGAGGACCAGAAGACAGCCAGGAAGGTTTCAGTTCCCTCATACCCAGCTGCCTTCCAAAACACAGCGGACTAACACTGACACTAACAATACAGTGACATATGTTTACACAAGGGCTTTTTCCTCTTTGGAAAGGGTAGACTGGATAAAATGCTGAAAGATGGAATAAACCTTATTTTTATTTTGTCTGATTGCTTTCTGAGCTCACACCAGCGCTTACAGCACTCAACACGGAACAGGATCATTTACAGCATTTCATCACAGCCAGTTTTATCATCTTAACAGCTCGAGGAGATGCCCTTATTACAGCACTTTATGGATAGGACAACTGAGGCCTGGTGAGCTTCAATTTCTTGTCCAAGACCACATGGCTAGCAGGAGCAGGGCTACACTCTGAGCAACCAGGCTCCATGGTGTCTGAACTCACTGTGTAATACTGCCTTCCTAAGCAAGGATTGGATGTACTTTCTTACTCTAATTTCTTAGCATCTGAATATTTGAAAGATTAGGTCAACAGATGATACGATTCTACATGCTTTGGGAAAGGAAAAATAGTGAAGAAACTCAAGCTTAAAATGCACCTATTGTCTTTATAATTATACATTGGACCTTAAGGGTCCTTTGGAGAATTAAATTGCACAAAAATGACATAAAAAGATAGATGGCTGGAGAGACTTTTTTTTCCTATCATTCCACTATAATTTTCACATTGGAATCAGATTAGAAAACATCTAGGACAAATCACCAAGAAGAAGTTCCACCAAATGACAAGCCTGATCCTAACAGAACGAGGCGTGACAACATTCTTGTGAAGCATTCCCTTCCACAGAGGCAGGGCAGGCGCTAATGTTAACAGCTTCCAAAGAGCTGCAGCCTGAAAGAAAGATGTCCTGCAGGGTAAACTGCCCTTCCCTGTAAATATTTCAAGAAACACACCTTCACCTATAGTCTTGATTACCAATAAAGCAGCACCGCTCACTCATTCACTCAGTGAACATCCCTGGGCTCTGATGCAGCACACCAGTGATCCCCAAACTAATGAGATGCACTTTCTACTCCCCAAGAAGTCCACTTAGAGAAAGAGTTTGGATAAATAATTACAGTTCTGAGCTAAGCATTAACAGTGCTTCCATAAGTAGTGGAGTCTTTTTTAAAAAAGGACAACAGTCTTCAGCACCTGCTTAAAATAATCACTGTGCAAAGCGAGGAAAGAAAGAAGGCTGCACAAGAAATGAATCAAGTGGACCCAAATCATCACAGTGAACAGCTCCAAACGTGCTGTAACTGCATTCTGCATGTTTGGAATGGTAACACACACACACACACACACACACACACACACACACACACACACACA